CTGCTGTTGCATCGTTTGAAGCTGACGTCCTGTGTCTGTACACTGCTGCCATTGTCATGTCCTCGCTCTGCTTGCTGTTGCCTCATGCCAGGCCCTGTCCTGCTGTGACATCCTTCATCTTACCCTTGGAACCCCAAGGCCAAGTTTGCTTCAAACTGTTGGAAAACAGAGTTGGCCTGGATCTGGAACATACTCATCCTCAGCTTTGAACGTCTCCCCCAACCTAAAGGGGAAAGGTGAACACCCAGCAGCTGAGGCTTGGATCTGTTTCTCACATTGTCCTGAAAGATCTGAGACCTCAAGGAGGCTTTGTCTCATACAAGGTGAAGAAAGGTGCCATTCTCCTCTGAGGGTCTGGTGGGGTCTTCCCATTTTGCATTCCCTCCTCCTCCCTGCAAGCCATCTCCCTCTTAATTGACCCCACCTGGGAACAAGGGATGAGGAGGAACTGGGAGCTGGGGGGAATCCTGCCAGTTGGTGAAGCCCTGTGGCAGGAAGGTATATGTGGACATAGAGTATACCTGACTTCTCTTCTCTAGCCACTGACTTGTCTATGACAGTGGAATGGCTGGAGTCTACTGTCATTGGAAGCTAAGGAGGTGACGAAGGACTGGCCCGCACAGACTGGAATGTGTGTCAGTACAGGCCTGGCTGTGTGCTCACCTCCAGCGGGACCTGGGCAACATGAGAAGTTTGTGGTCTTGTTGCTCAGTTACTAAAACTTCTGTGGTCCTCCTTGTCACCAGGTTCTTGAGTTGGCCCAAAGGTTGGGAGTAGATAGGAGAGACAGTGTTCTAAGCTGACAAGGGCTTGCCCTCTGTCTTTGGGTACCTTGTTGCTGTTAGCCTGTGCCCTCCCCGTGCTTAGTGTGTGGTGAGTCCATCTCCAGTTTCTAGGACCCAGTCATTTTGACCAAGCATGAACATCAGTGTCTGCTATGTCAGTGAGTTCTGAGGCCTTTCCCTGACCAGACTGGTGCCTGTCCCACATTGTACCAGACACTGGGCTCCTGGACCCCATTCTCCTTCCCTTCATTTCCTGTTTTTTTTTTTTTTTTTTCTTTTGGTCACTCAGCCACTATACCCAGCACTACAAAACCACAGGGTTTGGTCTCTGCTGGGTTTGGGGACACAAGGAGACCCAAGGTGAGGAAAAGGCTGTCCTTATTCAGACTTCACCCAGGCCAGGGCTACCATGCTCTCTTTACCCCTCTCATAGGCAACCTTAGGGAGGAAGACCCTTTGGGGTGGGAAGGTGGGGGATTTCATCTCAACATAGGCTGAGGAGGAAGTGGGGAGCTTTTTTTTTTTGTAACATGTTAGGAGTTAATGTTGCAAAGAGTAGTTTACATCTTCACTTTCTGAAGACACTTGAATTTAGGACCGATGTTTCTGTGACAAGCATGGCAGGAGTGGCAGAGGCCATCAGGCTAGCCACTTCCCATCCACCATCTTCCCACCGGTATGGACGACTTGAGACACAAGGCAACAACCTGCCCAAACCCCTCTACTCATCCCATACCTTTCCAGGGTTGGTCCTTGCAAAATGACCTTTGGGCAGCAAACAGAAGGTCCACATGCCTCAGCTCTGGTAAGGGGCAGATTTCTCTTAACTCTCCTAAACCAGGGAGCAAATGCACTACCTGTAGAGAAGGCTGCCTGGCCCTGTGCCAGCCTGGATCCCTGGGGCTCAGATGGAGGTGCTGAGCTCACATGTCAAGTTCAGTGTTTTTGTTTTGTTCCACTGTAGCTCTTTTCCCCTCCTTTCTGATGATTGATTTACAAAAGAAAGCTAGCTGCTCAGGAGGCCCTGGAAGTGGGGAAGGAGGAACAATAAGACATTTAGGGAAGGTGGGAGAGGGTTGCCAAAGGCCTGGGCAGGGTGGCTGGATCATCTGGCACTCTGCTGAATGGGAACCCCAAAGTACATCTTGTGTAGAAGGGTCCTTGGATTTCCTCCAACCCCACCCTTGCCTCCAGCCATGTTGATGGCAGAGGCAGAGAAGATAAGAATTTATAACCTGTTTTCTTGCTGGAGGAAAACTTGTCATCTGGCTTTGCAGAGAAGGTTCCACTGTATGCTCATAGTACATTATCTATACCATGTTCTAGGATATCACATTTAAAAGGACAAAAAAAAATGTAAAATACTTGAATGAGCTTGTATTATAACATTAATGTTATTGAGAGTATCTGCTTTCCAGGCTGAAGTGATTCATTCATTATTCTAGTCCTGCTTTAGTCCTTTGTAATTTGTGGTAATTATGCTTTTCTTTTTAATACAAAAAAATGTATAAAAATAAAAACTTGAAAAGGCAAAAAAAAAAAAAAAAGAGAAAAAAGTGTCAATTTACAATCCCAGGGCCAATGAAAATATTCTTGAAAAATCAACAGATAAAAAGGATATTTTTCAGATAAACAAAATCTGATTTTGTCACAAGCAAACCTCTACTACAAGAAACATTAAAGGAAGAATTCAGTTAAAGGAAAGTGACACAAGATGGAAACTTGAATATACACAACACAGATAGTGCAGGAAACGATCAGAATGAAGGACTTCATTGCAGAGAAGATCACCATTGTGCTAGATACTAGATATCTAGAACTATATGCTCATCTATTCCAAGTTCCCTGGGCATGTGAGAACATCATCACACTGTCCAGTGAAAGTACCGCTATGGCTTTCAAAGCTTATGATTACTACTAACTACCAAGAAGAGTTCTCAAGCTTTGTAAACCAGATTCAGGAAAAGCACTCTTGAAAGGCAAGAGGACTGCTATTTCTATATTTCTATGCAGTTCTAAAATTAACAGTTCTCTATCTTTTTATCTCCCTACTCCCATCTGACTAAGAGCCTCTGATCACCAAGCCTTCGATGTCCTGGCCTCTTTGACTTGAGATTTGGACAGTACGTTAACAGTGGCCCTCCTTGTTTGTATGAAGTTAGGCTTCATGGAATTGACAATCAGAAAGTCATGTTATGAGGTCAGTCCCATTCTGGAAAGGTCATAGAAAGAGTTCCCGACATTGAAATATTGAAGAATATCATTCTCCATTCATTTCAGGAAAGGAGAAAGAAAACATACTGAAAATGGAGAAAATGAGCTGCATCAAAATCTGTATGTCAAAATGTCCTAAATGTATTTATGAATGACCAGTGTTTTGTTTCTCATTTCAACAGGCAGAAGGAGATGGTCAATTGGAGCCAATTATTTAGTTAGTTAGTTGCTTATGGAGCCTTGATAACTGGGAAAATAAATTCATCAGCATAAAAATGTATTAAATGTCTGAAATTATATATGATTTGTATATGACCAAACTATAACAATACTTATCATTCCGAAGGACAGGGAGATATGAAAGGAAAAGCTCTGAGAGCCTTTAACAAGCTCACTATTGTTTTTGTAAACAGACAAGATAATGGCTATTTATTGTGTACCATTCATTAATTCAGCAATGTGAACTCAAGCCCCCCAAAGGTGTTCAAGTCTTTCCAATTCCCTTACTTTGCTAAGAGTCCTATGTAAGAGTCCTCTTGGTAGCTGTACCAACATTGTACTCAATGTTGCAATCTGTTGTATGAATGGTAATGCCAAAAGATTTTAAAGCTTAAATACGCAAACTACTAATATGTGTAGTTCACTCAAAAACATTGGGCATGATATAATCAGTACAGTTACTTCTCCTATCAGATAGTAACTTCTGTGAAATCCTAATACACTGGCATTTTCATGATGGTGAGGAATTCAGTTATAAAATGCAGTGACGGCTGTGGGAGATATTAGACAAATGAAATGGATTTTTGGACTATAAAAGGGAGGTAAAACAAATGACAGAATAGGAGTAGGGTTCTCATCAATAATGTTGTGGCAGGGACAAAGGAAACCAAGGCAATGTAAACTAGGCTGTGGAATTGCACTCCAGAATCTGAGAGAAGGGAGAGAGCTGAGAAGTGCTCTCATGATTGGATGAAAGTTTAGATTCCTGGATGAGTTCTGGGGAAAGGTTGTCCAAAGAGTTTTGTAGCTCAAGTATCCAATTCATTCCATGTCTCTGGGGCCATGCTTGGAGCAAAGATATGGTAATGAAAAATTCTGTATCTATACTATTAAATGGAAGTATTCAAAAACATTTTAGGAATGCTGTTACTGCACATATACCTAGCAAACAAAAGACAGTAAGAACAAGTTATACAAATTATAAATTACTTATTATGAATTTAAGATATGTAAAATGTTATTATAATTTTTATCTTGTGTGTTTATTTGTATGTGATGTGTAATTAATGAATGAATGTTTTAATGATGTCATTCAAGACCCCAATCCCCTAACTTAACTTTTTTTAAAAAAAGACTGAAACTAAGGCCAGCCATGATAGTTCAAGCCTGTAATCCTAGCCACTCGGGAGGTAGAGACTGGAGGGATCGTGATTCAAGGTCAACCTCTGAGCACTCAACTAATAGTTGGGCAGCTGTCATCCCAGCTATTTTAGGAAGCACCAATAGGATTGCAATCCAAGCCAGCTGGGACATATAGGAAGACCCTGTTTCAAAATAACCAACACAAAAAGGGCTGCCAGAATGGCTCAAGTAGAAGAAGGACCTGCCTAGCAGGTGCAAGGCCCTCAGTTCAACCCCTAGCACCGAAAAAGAACCAGACTCAAACTAGCTAATTGAGAATTATTCTATCAATGCTTTATATATATACATATATAATGCCAATGATGTGATATTCCTGTCAAATATAAAATTCCATAATAGACATTACAATTATTTGTATAATTTTTCTGATTGGGGGGGAACTGGGGATTGAACCTAGGGCCTCTGCCACTGAATTACACCCCAGCTATATAATTTTTATATTATTGATAGACATGGAAATGGAATAGAACAAATGTTTATCCCTTTATTAGGGAATCATCAAGTTTGCTTTAAAAGTGCTATGGATCTAACTAAGAAAAAAATCATAGTTATGAGGCTGAATATACATATGCATGTCACACCTTGATTCTTCTTTGATGTTCTGACCTCATGCTCCTTTGTGATTCAGTATTTATAAATGATCTCCATTTAGCCTCAAATATTTGAGAAATCCAAATATATCAAATATAACTGTGCCCACAGTTAGATTCAAAACACATATTAAGACAAAATCTAAATGCAGTTTAAAACAAATTCAACAATGCTTCATTGTCAGGAAGCTTACTGCATGATAGAAGAGCAAGTAAGGAAAAGTCAGTCTCAGGCCCATGTCACTGGATTCTTTTATAATCTTCCCTGGGAATAAAACTATGGCTCACTTTATGACATTCAAATTATACTACACATGAGAGCTTGTTTGGAGGTTCTAGCAGGGGAGCGCAGCTACTCGTATACCCTTGACCGAAGAACGGTCTTCCTCTATCGCGGATGGTCGTCCTTTTCCACCGAGCGCGCAGCTTCGGGAGGGACGCACATGGAGCGGTGAGGGAGGAAGGGGACACCCGCCTAGCCAGCCAGATCAGCCGAATCAACCCTGGCGATCAATGGGGTGACAGATGTCGCAGCCAGATTGCCCTCACATCCCAAATTATACTACACATGAAAAATAAGAACCTGAACTTATAAAAAATTAGAATTTAGAATAATACCTACTATACACACACACACACACACACACACACACACACATATATATTATATACACATATATACTTTCAAAATACATATAAGATAAAGATACAATGAAACTTTTGGTCTTAGAAAGACAGATCAAGTTTCTAAAATATTTAAATTACTAAGTACATTCTTCCAAATCCATATATTTTTACCCTTTACCAGACATAAGCCATATACAGGATAATCTGACCATTATATGTCCATTAATTTCTTTCTATAGCTTAAACTATACATGCTAATAAATACATTATTTTAATGAATATTAAACATTTTGAAGTATAAATATATTACCTTTGAGTCAATTAAAAATTTTGAAGACTACAAAAGGATTTAGTAAATAATAGTGAAATTTGTTATGAATTATGTTTCTGAACCCCACACCAAAGATAGCCAGAAAGGTGTGACCATCTTACACTATATAAGAGAATATATTAAACAGCTCCCTACTCATCAATGTAATTATAATAGGAACTTGATGTTTTAAAATGTTCTGAGCTGCACTCTTTTTTGGGGGGTGGTGGGATTGAACCCATGGCCTCATATATACTAGGACACACTATGTTACCAATCATCTACACCCCCCATATATTCTTTTAACATTCAATTTTGGAACATGCTGAAAAACAATTCAGCCCTAGCAAAAGATATAGTGACACATAAGCTTGAAAATATTGCCAAACTATTTAAACTACATTTTCTAGTTCTACAAGTTGAATTGCCAGAATGAAACAGTGAGTTACTAGATCACCATTTTTCAGTCTAGGAAAGAAAGAAGAGAAAAAACAGCCCCCCCAAAAGATATTCTGTGTGCAGACCCAAGGCAAGGCCTAGTAGGTTAGTAATAAAAAATGAATTTAATCTTACCCAGATGGTAGTAGGAACCAAAAGGGTAAATAAATGACAGCACTTAGGTTAGTACGCTAGCTCTGGGTTGCTAAGAAATCTATTAGAATGAAACAGCCGCCAAATGAGTTATGCTTTAGCAGACGCTGCTCCCACTATGTGTTCTTGCCAATCACTAGTGGGCCTCTGCCAAATCAATGTCACATTTAATTTATTCACATTCAAATCTATTGCAAACACCCTTTGATCAATTACAATAATGAGAATGTACACTGAGTTTTATTGTTTTGACATGCTTTCTTGAACTTTCCTCCTGCATTTTTTTCAAAACATTTCTAATTGCAAGAAGTTGATCTCAAGGGTTCTTGTTATTTGAGGGGACAATTGTAAGGTTTGTTTATATTCTTTGCTGGCTAGGAATTTCTGGCATTGAGTTTTCTTTCTTTGAACTTGAGCCAGATTAATTATTAAATCTTGAAATGTCACTAAAATGAACTAATCACAGAGCTCAAGTCATTAATAGTTTTGCAGGTGGTATTTCCTTTAGTAAAACAAATGAACTTCCATATATATGAAAAAAGTACCTTTGAGCATAGACACATTATTTAATTGAAAAAGAAACTTAGTAGTTAAACATTAATAAAAAACAATTAGTCATTTAACTTTAGTCCTATTTAATTGAACTACCCTGGTGGGAGACAAAGAAAACCTTGCTCCCTTTTGTGAGAAAGAGACACCATAATCCCTGGAAGAAAAGACAGGTCCCCCTGGATTTCTGGGCTAGGTCTCTGAGAGGGAGAGAAATGGCAGAGAAGCAAGAGCCTTGGAGGGCTCTATCAGTGAGTGACTGCTAACGTTTATTGGAGTTGTTAAGCGCCAGCTGTTGTAAGGAGAAAAGGATTCCTTTTTCCTACATTGAGACAGGGAATAAGAAAATTTGTCCTTCCTTTTCTTCGTCCTTCCCTTCTCCATCCCTCTTTCCCCTCCCCTCCCTTCCTCTTCCCTCCCTTCCTGCCTTCCTCTCTCCCTCTCTCTCTCTCTGCCTCTAACTCATGATCATTCTGCCACAGCCTCCTAAGTACAGGGCTTTCAGGTATAAACCACCATACCTGGCTTTCAAAGCTATTATTCTTATGGAGCTTTCTTGGAGAATGAGGAGGATAAGCAAAGGAGGTAGCATTTATAGTTCTGACTTAGCCAGGAGTTAAGACAGGGAAAATCTGGATAAGCACCACTAGTCATTAGTCATTATGGAACTAATGCTTACGGGTCCATTTCTATTTTCCCATCCACTTATTCATTGGTTCATTCACATATTAATTGATAGTTAAAGACACAAGATAGAATGCTCAAGGAATTCACAATGTAGGGAAGAGAGACAGATAAAAAAGTAACTAAATATGATAAACATATGATAATATTAAGAAAAGGATATTATGAAAATGTAGAGGAGAAGATGGTATCCTGATTATTATCCAACAGAGTGGGGATAGTAGAATAACTTCCTAGAGAAGTTAGTAGATAACTTCCTAGAGAAGGTGATTCTTGAGTCTAAATAACCTATAGGAATTAACCAGAGGAGGAATTTAGGAAGAGGAAGCACATGTTCAGAGGGATGTTTGAGTAAAGTAGTACAGTTAGTTCAGGACACTCTAGAGGTTCCTATAGAATGCAGGGGTCAGAACACACTTCATCTTGTAATGCAATTTTAAGAAACTTAGATTTTATCTTAAAAACAATGGTGAAACATTTTGGACTTTGAAGCAAGAGCAAGATTTCCAGATAAAATACAGGATGTTCAGTTAACTTTGAATTTCAGAAAAATAAGCATTTACTTAGTATTTATATCCTAAATATTGCACAGGACATACTTACACTTAAAATTAGCTATCATGTATCTGAAATTAAAATTTAATGGGCTGCACTGTATTTGTTTGCTTAATATGGCAATTATACATGGAGACTAACATGTTTTTACTTTGTGTTTAAAAATATGACTCTGGCAACTGTAGAAATTGGAATGGAGGGAGGCAAGACTAGAACAGAGAAATCAGATAAGATGCTACTGCAGAAATGCAAGTGAGAAATCATTATGTTAGGAACCAAGGCAATGATAAGATGTGAGGAAAAGACAGACTGTTAAGGTAAAGGAGAAAGTCTTGGTCCCCAAGTATGTGAAGATGAAGGAGACCACAGAGATTCCCCATGTCTAATGCCTGGTAACAGATAATGCCATTGGCCATGGAAGGAAATAAAGAAAAAGAAGAGGAGGCTCCATTTTAAACAGACCAAATTTGAGATGCCTATAAAGGCTTCAAGTACTTGTATCTGTTAGCTCTGCCTTCTTGGCCAAGCCTCTTTTTTTGGTATGAAAGATTTTTTTGTCTTAACCCCTTTCAGAAATTGCTGGGCTGAATGCATGGCTCAAGTGTTAGAACACCTGACTGGCAAGTACAAAGTCCTGAGTTCAAAGCCCAGTACTACCAACAAAAAAAAAAAAAAAAAGAAAAATTATCATCAAGATAATCAGATCTCCATCCTAAGTTTCATTATTTTTTAAAATTTTTATTTTAATTTTTTTATTGTGCTGGGTGTGGGTACATTATAGCATTTACAAAGGTTCTTACATGTATCAGATATATCATACTTGAACTCCCCCCCCACCCCCTCTCCTGATTCCTGGAACAGTTACAAGAAGTATCATTTTTGCATTTATATACATGTGTATACATTATTTGAACCATATTCATCCTCCTACCCCTTCCCCCCACATCACCCTCTCCCACCAGTGCCAACCCATCTCCATTGTCAACAGCATTTCTTGCCTGAACTATAAACATCTCCTAACAGGTATTCTTGGCCCTCTGATCTAATGTTACATGGCAAAGAGTGACCTTTCCTGCCACTTCCACTAAAAACCTTGGATTCTTAGGAAAAACCCCAATCTTGCCTGTGGCAGGTAAGGAGATACTGTGATAAGATCCTTCTTCAAGGAAGGCCTTCCTTCCCAGATGCAGTGATGCTGTGACCTGGCAGCCTGCAGCTGTCCACCACTTTAGCATGTGTCCCAGCAGCAGACAGCTGCCTTGCTCTGGGTTTCAAGTAAGTGAGATAAGCAGGGACATAAAGGCCTAGCCTCTACAACCAGGTATAGGAAGACTTTGATGCTCCAGACTTCCTGTGAAGCTTTGCTTGGGGATGCATCATGGTTAGACTTTGTCTTCTGTCGCCTCCCAATTCCTTCCTCTTCCTTACACAAGGATACCTAATGAATATGTTCTACCTTAACTCCATCTCATATCTGCTTCTGATGTACCTAACTTCAAAAGGCCTAGGTAATCTGATTGCTCCCTGCCTCTCCAATCTCAATTCATGTCACCTTCCCATTTGGCTTAGTACACTAGCTTCACTGGCTTCTTCGTTGTTTTTCAAGCATACTGTACTTCACCAGGCCCCTTTCTGCTCTCTGCCTAAAAGGCATTTTCTCCAGTTCTTCATACCTAGTTGAACCTCACTCAGGCT